TTTATGGATCAACGGATATTTTTTTTTCCTTTTTTTTTTTTTTTTTTTGAAAAAAAAAAAATTTGATGGAATTTTTGGCACCGCATGTAAGTTTAACGGTAAGCAAATTTTTACTTTTATTTTTTTATTTTTTAAATAATTTCTAGACTTGGCATGTGATGGATTTATTATATGTGTATGCGTTTTCTTATTACTTGTGCTGTGATTTGCGATTTGTGTATAAAATTAATTTTAGAATTTGTAAATAAAATTTTTCCACACAATCGATATCGTATATAAGTCACGTGAGCCTTAAAAACTAAGTTCGCGAATAAAATCTCCGATTTAAGATAATCACGTTTGCTTACGGTCTTTATTCAAAAGCAAAAATAAATCTTCTCACTTTATAGGCGTGGCCACTGGCCGATCTAACCCATCTTCAATACCAACCTTTCGCCCAATTTGAATTTTATATATGTTCACAATTGTGATTAGGAGAATAGCTTTATAGTTGATGGTGCGCGAACGGACAGACGGACATATTTGAAGCGATTCAGAATTCGATTTTGCGCAAGAGGATATACATGTTATAGAAGCTCTGAAGCTTTTTATCTGAATAAATAAACGTTTCGTGAAAGTGAATTCGCCCAGCGTCCTTCTGCGGTGGATACGATGAAGGGAACTTGTAGAGAGCGACCTTATCAGAAGAGAAGCAAATAAATTTTCGCTGCAATTCAAAAATACGTGTCTGCAGTCAGTTCGCGTTAGAATTTTTAGTAGAAAAGTCCTCATGCACGGGGCTTAATGTTTTAATTAAGTTTGCCGTCCGTGCAAACTCTTAATGTGAGTAAATATATGCTGGCGGTAGGACTATCTGATGAAACAATTCGGTCGAACTTGGCTTTATTGTTTCTTCTGCTTCTTCTTCTTCTTCTTCTTCTTCTTCGTTTTTGTTTTCTTTTTTTTGTGAAATGTTGTCTTTTAAATTGTACGCTAATATTAATTCGCTTTTATACTGTTCTGGGCATGATATGAGGCTTAGTGCGTTTTATAGGAGTACAATCTTTTATATTCTTAAGTTGATGTGAAATATACACGAGACAGAGTTGTGTTTTAAACAAGGCCGCAAACCTCAAACAAGAAAGCTATCTTCATTTAGTTACAGTTTGTGTGTCATACAGAAGTCATGTATTATTATTCTTGTTTGTCTCAAAAGCCAGCCTACAAGTAGGTCGCAGTAATTGTTGGCGTCACCTGTAACGAGTATTAAAAACATCATGAGATCAGTATGAATGGAAATGTGACTGAATTTCTTAACGAGTTCGTTGAGTCCAAAGTGGATCGTATCGTTTAAAACAATTGCCCGAGATAGATAGCCATCTTCTTTCACATAGTGCAGCGCATATATAGCGAAGATGATTATCATCCGACACTTCCATACTAACCTCTAGAATTTTGTTTCTTAAGTCAAGTTTTTGCATGAAATACGAAATAAATCAGTTGTGGAACTCTCGATTCTCGAGAATAGTTTGGCTAACCCTAGTCATTACTTGCAATTATTTTTCCGAGTTTCACGGCAGCCTTCCAACTGCTATGTTAAATTATGTTATCCTAATAACAAGTTTAACATTTTTTCACGAAATATTTTAATCATTTTAAAAGTTTGCTGAAACACGTTTGCACAAAACGCTACACAATAAGAAAATAAAATTTTTTCTTAACTCGCAAGTTACGGGAAAATATCTTAGACACCATAGAAATTGTAGAACTGATGGCTTGGGGTGATGGATGCGAACAGATTAATATCAGTTTTCGAGAAAGCCTAACAGCTGGGGAAGGATGATCATTGCACTGCACCACATCACTTCGCCTAATATAACTCTTCTCTATCAATTTTCACGATAAAATACCCAAAATTATACCCTGTGTCCGTGTAAAAGCAAAAATTTGATGGAAATTCTCTTATAAATGAGATCTCAAAACGTGGACTTCTTCACCTATTTTCGGCAATATTAAGAATTAGAAAAAAAAACATTTTTGTTGTCGTATAAGTGCTTACTGTTCGCAAGAATTTCTATATAGGTTGCTGTACGCATGGCCGACTTTATTTTTATTTCAAATTACAAAACAACATTCATTATGAAATAATTAAAAATTGCACTGTTTTGCAATATAAAGGCATACTTTTAATATACCCGCCTATATATATATATATAAGAAGATTTCACAGGATCGTTGCATTGTTTATTTTCAACACAAGATCATAAATGGATTGTGTTTGTAAACACGATATGATGCAATTCATTTTCAATGGGACTCCTTCCCGGGCCAAGATATGTTAGTGTAAAATATTCCTTATCTCAAATGTCAAGATATCTTGAAGATTGCGACCTGAAGACGGAACACCGATAAACATCAGATGGTCAGTAGCAAAGATGAAGAAAATAATTCTGGTCTGGGTCTATTTTAAGCCCTTCTGCGTGCTGCATACACCTAAGGAAGCTTAACCATAATCTACACCATAACTAGAGCAGGGTAAGATTAATGGAAGCATTAGGGCTACATTTGTATGGATAGTTAAAGGCGTTCACGCAAACACGAAAGTCTGGGAGGTATTATAAGTAGCAATTGGCCTACTAAATAAAAGCACATACGCGAAGAGTTTTCGAGCAAATATCTTAGCCTCTCTTAACTCTACTGGAAGTATTATAAATGAAATTTTTACAAATGGGTTGACGTAACAACCTGAATAGTTTGATACGGGCTTTAAAATTGTTCATTGTTTTTTTTTTGCACCCATGACCGAAGGATGGGGGTTATAGTCGCTTTATCAAAACGTTTGCAACGCTGCGAAAGAAGCATCATAGACACAAAGTATATATATGTTTTTGATCAGCATCAAATTCTAAACCGATTTAAGTTTGTCCGTCTGACCTTCGGTCCGTCTGTGTAATGTCTGTTGTAAACATTCTCCCAAGTTCTTGCATGCAGGTTGGTATTGAAAATGAGCCAAATAGGCCAAAGGACATACCCACAAAACCACGTAAATTGAGAACACCTCTGTTTTTGAGAAGGAATGAAAAGTTGGGTTTTTCCTTATTGCGCATAAACTATACCAAGAAAATGTACAAAAATTTTAACGCATATTCTGTGGCCAAGGCTGTAGCATGCGTGCACAAAAATGGAAAAAAATTGACCACACCTACCCAAGTTTCAGAACTCCTATAAAGTACATAAATTCTTGATCAGTTTCAAATTTGGAATGTCCGCCTACTCGTCTGCACAACTGAGTAGTATTTGTGGTAAGCACTCTCCCGTTAGCGAAAATGAAATTACCGCCCACAAATTCGCAAAAGAACTTGAAATTGATCTTTTCACAGGACACGCCTACAATGCCCACATAGCTATACGAGAAAAAGTTTTATTTTGAAGATAGAAAAAGTCAGTTGCGCCCACTCAATATTATAGAGAACGAACATATTCTTCTTCTTCTCCTTCTCTCCTTTGTCTTTTTTAGGATAACGATGAGGGCTACAAAAAAAATTCGGTCCCGACTAAAATTAATTATCTTACTTTTTTTTACATCCAATGATACGCTATAAGGTAAAAATAAAAATTATTTATGATAATTATGTTGATAGTGATGTAAATTATTCTAATGTTTGGTTATTTATTTTTACAACTGTGCGCATCGTAAGCTTCCTTTCTAACAAGGCAAACAAAACTTGAAATGAATATTTGCGAGAAGCAAACAATCTTGCGCACATGCAACTTCCAAGAACTTTTCGGTGAAAGGAGATTAACAGAAACTAAAATTTCTTATGTGAAGAAGTGTCATGCATAGTTCATTGGCTGAATAGTTCAAGATGGACTATGGAGAGGAAAGCATTTTATCAATTCTATTACATAATACAATACTCTTAGTTAATATAGGGGGGAAGTTATTGCAACATATGACGACGAGTGACAGCTGAAAAGGCGGCCAGGGGCTTTTGTTGTATTCAAAACAAAAAAATTACAGTTAACAACTTAATAACTACTCGTGACATCTTCGAAACTTAGCCTGTGTTGCAACTGACAGTTTTATCGAAAATTGTCAAATGCTTGTACATTATTATGAATGTTTAATGGCATAGGTGGTTCGGTGTACTGTTTTTATTTGGCAGAAAAACAATATATTGCATAAGAAAAACACTCTCCTAAACTACATTACGTGATTTATGCCACTGGGCATTAGAAACTAAGACCACACCAACTGTGTAAAACTGAAAAAAAAAATTAAAAAAAAAAAAAAAAAAAAAAAAAAACATTTAATATTTCCATGGAACTTGCGGACTTGAAAAACAAAAGCAACTGAAAACAGTTTATATTAACCAATTTGTGTTTATTTCGCACACTTGAAATAATCGCTTTTGTCGTTTACCACCAAATCTCATCAGACATACGTGCATTAGTATGCCGGCTTGGATGACACCAACTGGCCATGTTACAACACATTAAGGAAAGCGTTCATATTATGTAATCTTTCTTGCTTTTAGTAGCATGATTTCAGGTATGGTTTACCCCATATGGCCAAGTTTGCCAATCAAGGTAAGGGAATGCAAAAAAAAAAAAAAAGAAAAAAACTAAAGACTATTTGTGCTACTATGCGATGAGTAAGCGATTAATTGTAATCACTTTAGCTTTCTTTGACATGACATTAGTGTGCGTTTGGGTCTGTCATAAAATTCCACCAAAATAATAATTATAAAAATTGTACCGGACTTTGTCATAATTATTATGCGCATCATGTTTGTAATGCCGTTTAGCTTATAGCGCAACACTTTCAAAGTTAAGTCATTCGCTTGTGTGCGTTGTTAGCTAATTTCTGATTTGAATTTCGGTTAAATGATTAGCGGTCAGCTGTTTCGATTGCCTTATTTCCCCCTCATGCACGTTACACACCAATAATGATTATTATTTCCTTTTCTTTATTTCAATTTTAACATTTAGTATAAAATGCGTGGGATTCACTCTTTATCATCAGTTAACTTTTCAGCGTTCAGCACAAAAGAGTTCGAGTCTTTTTGTCGTTTTTCTTACAATAATTTATTTGGGATCAAGCGTGAGATCGTAGTAATGAAGGTATAAGCAAAAAAAAAAAAAAAAATTTAAAATTTTTTTTTGAAATTTCATTAAAAGGATTATATAAGAATTTTTGGAAGTCCTTTTCTTTGTTCCGCGACTCATATCGAATTGAAAGTCATTTTAAGTGCAATGTTCGAAAATGTCTTGCTCTTGCGCGGGCTTCTTAAAAATATTCACAAATTCAAAGGATCATCCCGTTTGGAGTCATCCATGCCGTAGCTTGAATTTGTTACGAAATTTCGGCGCCTTCCCTTTCGTAGCCTTCTTTCTTTGAGTAGAATTCGATTTAACGATTCACGTGAGATATTGGAGTTTAGCTTATTGACGGACTCAATTTTGATCACGTTTCGTACAATACTAACGAAAAGATTTTCTTTAAGTTATCTCTAATTAAGTGAATTAAAAAAAAAAAAGAGAAAAATTTGAATCTCACTTCTATCTATTCATTGCCATACAGGCTTTCGTAGGCATTTTGATGATCGCTTTGGCTTCAGTGCACGCTGGAGTTTTGTCTCATCATCATCATACCGATGAGATTGCAGACCACGGTCACTATGTCGATCATGGGGTTCATCATGGTGTTGATGTGCATCATGCCAATGGCGTTCACATTGGTCACTCGTCAGCTATCGTCATTGATGGCGATCATGTGACTGAACATCATCCGGTTTATCACCATGATGGTAATCAGGTGGCCGGCGTTGATGTAGTACAGACAGACGTGGGAGGCGCCGGGGCTGGCGGTGTTGATGTCGCTCTCGCCGGTACTTCGGCCGCCCGGGTAATACATCATGAGCCCATACATCAAGTGGAATCGGTGCATCACGTGACTAGAGTAGTGCATCATGAACCGCATCACTTTTTGCATTACACAAATCCCGTGGTCGATCATCATGTTGTTCATCAAAATCATCATGTCGATGAACATCATCATGCCGCCGATTTGCATCATACTGAATTGCATCATGGCGATTTGTTACATCGTGGCGTTGCTCATCATACAGCGGCGCCAGCAGCTTTACATCATCATCATCATCATGGTTATGCTTATCATAATAATGCAGCTTTAGTACATCATGCACCAGTAGCCGTTCATCATCATCGCGATGCCGCCGTTGTTCATCGGGTGTATCCCGCCCATCCCACACATGCCGATATCTTGACCTTTGCCAAACATCAATTACATGGCAAATATGGTAAAGTGAAGATCATTGAAAAGCATTACTAAACGATTTCCTCTTCGCTCCCCCATCTCATCGGTCGTTCGGTCTCTCTTATAACTAATTTATTGTATTGTAAACAGTTGAAGAACCGCTCTGCTCTGCTCTGCTCATGCATTCATCAAAATCAATGTTATTGTTATTATTATCATGATTAGGTTAAGTCTTTGATTTTCTTATTATTATTATTATCTTCTCGAGTTTTTTATTTTTTTTATTTTTATTTTTATTTTTTTATTATTATTGTAGTATCGTTTTAGCAATATCGTAGTAAGCATTTTCATTTGTTTAATAAAAGGAAAGTTGAATGAAACATTTTTTTTTTTAAATTTTTTTTTGTTTTTTTTTGTTTTTTGTTTTCATTCTATTCAATCACTCAATCATCGCATTCAAAATCGTTTGTAAATGAGTGCGATTGTCATTTATTTGCCATTAAAATGCGATAAACATTTAACGATAATGTCTTCTGTAAAGTTAAGAAATGAAAGATAACGCCTACCTTCCTATGGATAAATGGAAAAACAAACAAAAAGGCAGACAGGTAGGCAGGCAGGCAAACAACTGTTCGGTCCATATATCAAACAGCGGGGGTGTATTTGCAGTTCCGAACACTTTGACGATATAAACGCTATATACACGAATGAGTGTTAGACATTAAATGTATTGACAACAACAAAAACAACAACAACAACAACAATAATAATAATAATAATAATAATAATAAAAACAACAAAATTAATAAGAAGAAATGATAATTGAAAACAACAAACTTGAAATTCAACTGCAGTATAACAAACAACACTTGCGTCCTCAAATCAGCTAAAAAATTTGATGCAGTTGAGCAAAAAAGAAGAAGAAGAAGAAAAAAAAAAAAAGAGTAAAAATCTAAAAAATAATAACAATTGCTTTAGAGTTATCTTGGCATAGCGATAGAACCCCTGGCACGTTCACTGAGTCTTTATACCAAAAACACGAGTTTGTTGCCTGTTTTGTGGTGCTGCTATTGTTGTTGTGTATGAATGTTGTATGCTAGTGGCTGTGTGTGACTTTTTGTTGCTGAGTGCCACAACTTCTAGCCGAAGCGCATGGTGCGCATGCTTAACACGTGGCCGGCCTTTACTTGCCTTGAATGTTTATTTTACACAGCACACAACCCAACCGATCACCATTTATGTATAGCTTTTGTTTTATATATTTTTTTTTTTTTCCTTTTTTTTTATTATTTTTTTAACAGCACTATCATTACTGCCGTTGTTGTCGTTGTTGGTTTTCCTTTGTTTTACGTTAGTCATGTTGTGCAGTTTTGTTTTTTCCACTCCGGTGTTTCAATTGAATTTGGATTGCAGGTGAATTTTTTTTTTTTTTTTTTTGCTTTACTGTAACAGCTCAAGAGCAAGCAGCACAAAAGTCCATAAAGTTACAGAAAAATGGAGAGATTTCAATGAGAGCTTTGAACGGAAAAGTAAATAAAAGAAAAAATAATCGACCAAATACACCGTAAAAATAATCGTAAAGTTATGTAATGCCAGGAGGAACTTATATAATATACGAAAAATATCATTAGGAGTAAATAATTTCCGTAAACGTAAAGGACCGAAACTCGCAAACTGAGATGTTGGTGAAAAATTTCTAATTAATATTAAGTGTAAGAGTGTAGTTGCGCGATCAAATTGGATGGCATTTTAAGGTTAAGAAGCATAGCCAAGTAATTGTGGCATGAGTTTGGCAATTTCCTTGCAAATCGAATCGCGCTTTCAATTTAAAAAAAAAAAAAAAAAAACAACCGCATTTGAACGCTATACAACGGATCGTTCACAAGGTTTTAGCTAGAGAGTCAGTTAGAAGAAAATTTAAGTGAATGTTCAGGAAGAGCTTTCGTCAGAGACAAATAGACAATGACCTGCGAGAGTATTGTAACTGAGTGCAATGTGGAAACTAAAGTTATGTATGGAAGTGCAGTAAAACTTGGAAGTCTTGGAAATTACTGGAAATGCTCTAGAACTGGCTCAGAAATAAATTAATCCCATGGTTATAGACTTTTGCATTATACACTTATATGCAATTCCCCAAATGTTCCCACGACCTTGCTTGCTAAGAAGAGATTTGAATTTCAATTAAGAAACTTTCGAAAATGTCCTCGAACTTCTTCTCGTTTACATCGTCGCCGACTTCAATGAGTTCGATCAAATACACGAAAAGTTCACATTGTTTCGCAATGAATTTTCTCTGTATCTCTATAGCCGCAACGGTACACAAAGAAAACATGGAATCAGCATCAGTTCCTAATCGAATCCAATGCGTTTCATGTGATGGTTCGCAACATTAACATATGAACTTGAATGAAGTTTTCAAAAGTTTTAATCGAAATTTTAACTTTGATTTATATATGGTTTTCGCTCACTGTACATTTCGCAAACGATACAAACAAGTGGCTAATGATACATAAATGCTTTTGGTGAACTCGCTTGATATTTTCATTTATTGAACGTTACAGCAACAAATACACAACAGGAATAGGGTAAAAATTTACAACAAAGGAAAAAGTATAGCGAGGCCTTATTTGGTGGGTCTTGCGGTCGGCAAAGAGAAAGGAGCAGAGGAAAAGTGAAACAACTTAAAACAATAAGCCTTAAGTGTTGGCGGCAAAACAGTAGCCATCAAAAAACAAACCACTACTGGATGTTCAATGGTCATGTGTTTAAGCAGTAGTACTACTATCAACCAACCAACCAACACAGTTTATAAAGCTATAGAATAACAACAACAACATTAAGAAAAATAAAAAATAAAAACAAAAAAACACTTATATTTTTCAATTCAATCGTTGTTGTTGCTATTACCCCACTCTATAACTGAAATATAAAATATGAGCATAGGAAATCCTAAAGCCTTCGAAATGAAGTGAAGCTTTAATAGCAACGATTTGTTGTACTTAAAAGAATCTTTGAAATAAAATCAGCTGGTTTGTTTGTTGCTGTGCTTTTCCGATTTTTATATTTGTTTGTTTGCTTGTTTGCTTGCCCGCTTGCTTGCTTGCTTGCTTGCTTGCTTGCTTGCTTGCTTGCTTGCTTGCGACCACAGTGCCACCACCATGACAAGTTAAGCAAATGTTGTGCGGTTATGTGTGATTGCTGAAGAGTCGTGCTTTCAAAATCAGAAGAAGAAAAAGAAGTTGGGTTGTAAACCCAGCAGCACGACTTTTTCACTTTGACATTTCAACAGCGAGGCCCTGGACGGGAACTATTTACCATATACGAAAAAAAAAAAAAAAAATAAAAAAAATAAAAAAATAATAATAAAAAATATTAAATAAAAAATAACAATACATTATTGACTGGAGGAGTTAAACGTCAGTCTAGCATAACGTAAATGCCTGCCTATCTACCTATTGATTGAGACGGTTGCTGCTAATAAGTGCCAAAGTGTTTATCACGACTAACAATGTTTCTCTTCTTTTTTTTTTTTTTGTTTTCGTTGTATTTGTATTTTTTGTTCTCTTCTGCCCAAACAAATCAATTGGCGTTTGTTTCATTTTCAGCACAACAGCAGACAGACAGACAGACAGTAGATGAGCAAACAAACAAATAAACAAATATCATCATATTCAAGCAACAACAACAATACCAACACCAACAAGTGGCAATTCATGGCATAGGCAGATTAAATGCACAAATACTGAGATAAATACAAATATCTTGTTATTATTGGCACAATTGTCACTTGTGAAGGGTGAATGAATGAATAAAGGAATGAATGACTGAGTAAATGAATGAAAAGGTTACATGCTATAGTATAAGTTTATCCAAGTGTTAAGATACTTTTCACATCGGTATATACCGTTGATACCGCGTGATGATCACACAATTAACAAAACGAAAGGCAATCATTGATTCGCTCGCTCATTGCTTGCATTATTACACTCGCACACACACATATATATATTTTAACATAATCCCAATATGATAGATACTTCAAGTACTTAATAACATTTTTCACTTGCAATTTCGTAATGATCGTAGTCGTTTTTGTGCAAACACACAGGCGTACAGGCGCGATCTTAATCGTCAAACAAACGTGGCTTAACGCTGTTTGTAAACGCGTTTAGAAGAAAATCTTCATTTTAGATGGATTCCTTAATAGCCCTGCTACCCTATTGCAAGCGGATTAGCGGGCAAACAACTTATACAATTTCAAGCTAAGAAATTATGCGCAAAAATTCAAATTTCTGATGCAATTTTTATAGCCGTAAGCGAATCAACAACAACAGACGAGATATTGATTTATTGTTGAACAGGCAGACAGACAAGTCCGATTGAAATCATAATTTCAAGCCTTTCAATCACATGACACGTGAACCTCTATATACGTCTGCTATTTCAATGTTAGAACACACAGAACAGACGAAACAATGACTGAATATTCATACTTACCGTCCTTGGGTGGGTATAAAAACTGCCAATGAATTCATTTGTCTTCTCTATCGGGACCAATTGCATATTAAATATTCACCCGACTCTAATGAATATGGTTTTTATGACAATTCTTTCATCCATATCGGTTGTCTATATGAATGGACGCGTTTTACATCAGTGAAGGCGTTGATATAAGCAATTCACGGCTGAGGGTATAAATTGAAAAAATTTACGCGTATATATAATATATATATATATATATATATATGTATGTATAAGTAGTCGTCTACCTTCTATCATTTGGTGATGGATATAAGGGAAAAGGAAAAATTATATGATTTCCTTTCTCAACTCAATTTGTTGCCATCGGAAATTGCATGCTTTTGCATGCAAGTTTTAGTAGAATCTTTTCATTTGTGTGATGTGTTACTCAGCGTTACGAGCGACATGCGGGGATAGCATTGTGTTTTTGTGTATATCAATCATTTTATAGCGCCCGAAGGTTTCCTTTGCGCAGAGATTATTATCAGTACAAGAAGTCTTAGCCCGTAATATGTTGAGGTGCGTGTGTTTGTCTATCTGCTTGGGTTGCGTCGTTAGTAAAGTGTGCAGGCGTGGTTGCAGTATTCTCTGTAAGGGCAATTATTTACAAATTTCTCGACGTCATTTTAAACTCAACGGATGGATGGATGGATGCTTATACATTAACCTTGTTTTCCTTCCCTTATGCGTGTGTGTGCGTTATCCATGCTTTAAAGAAAAAGGATGTTTCCACTTTCTTTTCATCCACTTT